GTGGGAAAGAAGAGCAGCAAGAGAGGCTTTGGGAAAGGCTTTGAAGGACTAGCTGATAGTCAGAGCCTGATACTCACTGGGAAGTATGATTTCAGAGAGCAGTTCCCCAAAAACCGTGGGGTGCTGCCCTTCGATTCCCTCAGAGGGAGGCTGGGTGGTTTTATTCAGCTGGGTTGAGGTTGGGAGTGAGCAGCTGAAGCTTGTGCATGAGGCTGGGGCTGAGACTGCAGTCTTGATCTGTTCTTAGGAATCAAAATTGTAAGGGAAGCACCACAGAGTTCACTACAGTTTGGATTCCAGCCCAGAAGTCAAACTTAGGGGCAGGAACACAAAGCACTTGGAGAAAAAGACTGCTTATTTAGAGGAGTAACTGCTTTCTAGTAGCATTATAAAAACATTTAATAAAGTTGTTAAGTAGTGTTTAATCTTTTTGGCAAGAAGAGTGCAGAGGAAAGAGGGGTGCAGTGGAAAATGTAAACAAAAAGTCTGCTGCAGTAGGAGCTGGAAAGCTCTGGGGACTTGATCCTTCCTCAAACAAACCTAATCAGAACCTAGTTAACTCTTTAGTCAGTTGGGTTGTTTTAAAGAGCAAAAAGAGGGAAGGATAAAGCAGAGCAGGGTTAACTTTTACCACTTGTTTTGTTTTGTTTTGTTACATTACATAAAAAAAAAAACAAAACCAAAAGCTCTTGCTTCAGGGTGAGGAGCTCTTGGTAGAGGTCTATGAACAAAAGAACTGGCTGGGGAATCTGTGAAGCTCTCCTAGTATGAACTCTGCTGTCGGGGCCATTCCCAAGCCCTGGGAGGGGAGAGCCTTTCACCCTCGTGCGGAGGTGGTGGCACCAGGGGTCAGGCCAATGTCCTCCACGAAGCAGCAGCTTGCTGGCACGCTCGTTGTGGGCGCCAGGAGGTTATGCTGATGCCTCTGCCCTGTCTTCGTCCCTCCCGATAACGTCCGTAGAGGCTGGCAAAGAGTTAAAGGTGAAATGTGAAGCTCGTTATCTTGTTTCAACAACTATAAAAATTTAGCTGAGGCTATTCAGAGATAAATGCAAATTGCTCCTTGGATTAGTGGAGAGCACTTGCTCCGCTCCGACCCTCCTGCCTGTGGCCAGCAGGCCGGGGTGCTTCCCGGGCCCACCAGCGCCCGGCTGCTTGCCCCCTGGCAGGAGGTGGGGAGGGGGCTGTGTTTTCCTGGGGTCTCTGACGTTTCTGCCTTTGGCTGCGTTGCTGAGCTCCAGGATTACGGAGTTTGGCAGGAGCAGCTGCGTGCTGAGGTTGGCTCGTCTGCAGGCACCACAAGTTGTCTTGCTGCTGGGATGTGTTGTCACAGAAGACATATTCTGACAGACCCCAGAACAAGCCAAGTTTTATTTGCTCTGCTCACTCTGCAGCAGGGGAAGGAGAGCTGCTGCAAGATCAGACCATCTGGTCATTGGTCTTATCTCCAGCAGTAGTGGATGCTTCATAGGAAGAGGCAGAGGGTAAATTACTTGTTTTCTGTAACAAAGATGAACAGAAAGGTTACTTCTCAATCTTTTGGGCCCTTTTTTTTGTAGAAGTCTCTTGTTATGTTCTTTCAGATCAGATAGATACACTTGCTGTTGGGTAGAGACAGAGGAGGGAGACCAGCCATGGGGTATTTCCAGCCTGATGCTACTGATAACGAAGGTATCTGCCTCATTCCACCCATTCCTGATGCCCAGCGCTTCCAACAGCCTGCTGTGCTTTATCCCCCACCTTTCCCCTCTGCCATGGCCAGGAGATAAGTGATACAGAAATGCTGAAGCACAAGCGAACGTCAGGATGAAATTCAGGGAGCTCAAAGCAGAAAACCAGTGAATTTTGCTTTCCTGAACATATTTGAAGAAACCACGTGAACAAGTGCTTTGAGAGGAGTTAGTGACTCTGGGTTATGAGTCTAAGGCCCTAATTTCAAAGCTGCTTTCATGTGAAGATGTGAATGCTTGGGACGGTTGAGAGCAAGCTGTGCATGTTTTCACACCACGATAGGAGGCAGCAATGTTTTCACTGTGTATTGGAGCACAGGGCTTTGTAAAGGTGTTTTTACTGCTCTTGGATGCTCTTTTATCCCCACGTTTGGGTACAATATGGAGGAAGCCACAGCCATGAAGACTGGAGGGGGAACTGTCTTTGGCTCTGGCTTTCCCCTTTCTTGCCTTTAGTGTGAAAGGCTGGTTCCTGCATGGTCAGTGGATCCCTTTGGCTCCTCAGGCCTGGGAAAAAAATTAAGACCAGAAAAGCTGATCTGTCTAGTGTGTTGCCAAGACATGACAGTGTGAAGTATTGCCCCTATCATTAGCAATGCAGGGTTGTGCAAGTCCCTCTTGAAGGCTGGCTGCAGAGAGCAGGAGTCTGTTTCAGCTGAGCATTTTGAACTTTGAATTTCCTCACAATCTGAATCTTCTAATATTTTTTTTCCTTTCTAGTCTCTTTTTGTGGTGGGGTTTTGGTTTTTATTTTTCAATCACACAGTAGAACAACGTGTTGGACCAAATGGTTTTACCAGTGATTTTTTGGGGGTGGTATCCTGAGCAGGGTTGTGCAGACTATCAAATGCTTGTGTTTACTTGCTCCCACTCCAGCCCAGTGTGAGCTGGCTCAGCTCCCAGTGGCCCCTGAGATTGTGCTCAGGGCAGTACTCTTGTGCAAGCAGCTCAGCAACTTCTCTCTGGCTGCTCCAGCCCTTCTCAGGCTGCAGAAGTGAGCAGGGACCTCTCCCTGTGCCTCAGCTGTCAGAGAAAAGCAGAGCATTTAGGGACAGGCTCTGCTGAAACTGGAAGTGACTTGGCTTTAGAGAGATGTGAGTGTGGTTGTCTCCATTCAATGTTTTTGCAAGCGTTCTGTGGTTTTCTCATCTGCCTGCATGAGTGGCTGGAGGTTCTCATCTGAGACCACCCTATGGTGGTGGGACAGTGGCTTCTTTTGTCACCATTTCAGCCAGTGAGCAGCTGTGGTAGTGGCTGCAGTGGCTTTTATTGCTCCCCTAGCAGCATTCATCTTTCCCTTGTGTTAGGGAGAGCTTTTTCCAACCTTTATGTAACCTGTATTTATAAAGGCTTTTCTTCTGCAGAACTTTCATCTCCTAGTTTATTTACATGCCTTGCCCAGGAGCTATCAAACAATACGAGACAGATCAATTTAGCACTTGTCCTCACTCCACCTCCTCTGGCAGCCCTGCAGCCTTCAAGTGAGTTGCCCAAGAGCTCTTCTAGGAGGGATGTCCCAAGAGAGTCACTGGGAGTTGCACCACCCTCCATCTG